GATTTTGGGGTATAGGTGGCGCTGCGTACGAAAGAAGCTCGAACTAGAGTAAGATGGCGTTGTGGCAGCACTATCGCCGGAAGCAGCAGGGACGACTTCACTGTTTATCTTGAAGGTGCGGAAACGCATCTCTGATTATCACGTCCTCTTATTCTTAATAGCGTTCCATGCTGCTTTATACGATGCGACGACTGTAGTGTGTTTAACTCAAATAGCGAACACACCACTCGTCCTTGCATCCACCTTCTCGCCTTATCCTGCAAAATATCAACACGGACCGAAGTGATATTGCAGGATAAGAAAGTGGAACTGGCCAGACAGAAGTGGCTGGTGCCGACCGCCGGTGTCGATCGTTTCGGTCCCCTAGTAGGAGCCGGAATGTTCCTGCTAGGGGCCACTTCGGCCCTTAGCTGGAGCTCCGTTCGGGTGCAGACTACAAGCCCTGAAGAAGCGTCCCTGCGCGGACTAAGCCTCTGCGGATGATCCCCAGGTGCATGTTGTTTTGCCCCTCCGTTATCCACTTTCCTTTAATCCCATAGCCATAAAATTGTCATGACGAGCCGAAAGAGCTCTAATCCAAACAACCAAGCAGCCAAACCAGGTGGCACACTCAGTGATTCATAGTTATGTGCTACTCAAATAAGAACGATTGACGGATCCGACGGTATCAGGAGTACCCATACAAGAATACGTGATGAGTCTGCGATTTATCATGCACGTGACTAAGTGGCGCACGGTCCCAGGCCTTTGGTTTGGCTCACCATCGTAAGATGATCATCTCAAAATTCGACAGAAAATCCCGGTGCACTCGCCGAATGTTCAGTTCAACACAAACAGGTAATGAAGATGCAGCAGCGCCCATGCCAATGTTGTAAGGAACTCTGGTCACCCAAAGCAAGTCGCGTATACAGGTTGGACAGCGACACAGAACTGTCGATTGCTACTGTCGACCGTTGCTGTCGACCGCTGTGTCGACTGCTGTTGTCGACCGCTGGTGTCGACCGCAGCTATCGACCGCCGTTGTC